TTTGCTAACTTTAAGCTTCAGCTGTTTTGATAAACTGAGTTATATCAAAAAACTGTTATATTCTGTGATGGTGTTTTATACAAGGATTATGAAAGACTCCAGTCTCTCTGCAGACTGTATTTACAAAGATTTGTTTTGACACTGATTTATTTATCTTTATTTTATACGCCTGCCTAGATGTCTGTTTGAGGGTGAGGTATAAGTCTGCTCAGCTGTTTTATAGACAGCTGTTATCGACTTTTTCTACAATGTGGATTTCAGTACAGATTACAGGAGATGTCTAAAGCTTTTATCTCTTTTTGTAATTGAAAATCTGTGTATGCTTCAGGGAGCCAATGATGTCACAAGTCTTGTATCCACCTGCTACAGGTCAAAGGGATTCCAAATAAGTACAGCCTAAGTTTCCCCACATGACTGTTCCTGAGGGTAGGATTTCTCTCCTGGTCTTGGGACTCCTTCCATTCCCCAATTTCAGAACTATGGGCCTGAAAGTTCCAAATGTAAGATTGTCCTTTAAGTTCCTAAACTTTAACTTCCGTCCCTAGTCTATATCAGATTTCCACTTGCGTGACAGACAAACACCATCCAGGAAACAGCTGCTGACTACAACCTGCTCCAAAGGACTGCCAGCCCTGGTGTGCTTGCTCCCTGTCTCTTCAGCTGGCTCAGCTGGCCCTTGACAACAACATCCTAGTTTCAGCAGGAAGTAGCTACAGAAGGCAATGTCTCACCCCATGTCTTCAACCAGGCTAGAGTGTTAGAGCAAAAGGAAACTCCCTGGCACAGTGGAAGAAATGGCTATTGGCTACCAGGGAAGGCACCTGTTAAAACCAATCAGATCCAGACCTATCAACAGGGAGATACATTTGCTAAAATAGTTCTACAATATGATAGGCAATTGGTCTGCTTTATGCAGAAGGAAGTATTATTCAGTTTTAACAACAACAACAAAAAAAGTTATTTCTCTACAAACCATTCAGGAATCATTAGAAATAATCTGACTGCCCTCAAAAAGCATTGCAAAAAAAAAAAAATAGACCTCAGATGGAATAAATTCTCATTTCCCAGGCTCCTCCTAGATCATACTCTATGTCAGCTTTCATAGGGCCTTTGGCCCTTCTGTTTCTGCTAAGTACAGTTGCCTCTTGCATCACTGATGCCTTAACTAAGTGATAATTTCTATCTGATGGTTATTAGATCCCAATATAAACACATATCCATCACAGAGTCAAGGATTTGACTCAGGATACAACTCAAGGGTGGAAAGTGAGAACCAAAGTTAAGTGCCAGAGACTACTGTTTATGCTCCCACTTCCCTAAGCAAGCTTGTTTGACCCATCTGCACAGTATGTGCTTGATCATGTGGGTGGGAGGAAATCGTCAGCATGTACACTTGCCCTTGATTGGAATGTAGGCAGGAGGTATATGGGCAGGAAATACACCAGGATATATGTTTGCCCCTGATGGGAAATGTGGTGAATTTTACAGTTTAATCTTCTCTTCTCCAGTTCATTCATTCTTTATAGAATCCAGTCAGCTGATTTAAACAGAGCTGAAAATTACATTTTGGGGCAGGCTTATAATTTCAGCACTTACCAAGCAAAAACTCTGGAATCTTGAGCTTCTATTCAGCCTGGATTAAGATAAATTATTAAGGCTGGGCAAGGTGGCATACACCTTTAATCCCAATATATTCAGGAGGCAGAGACAAAAGGATCTTTGTGAGTTCAAGGTCGATGTGGTCTACAAATGGATTTCCAGGTAGCCAGGACTACAAAGAGAGCCCTTATTCAGTAACTAAGTAAATCATATCACAATCAAATCTTCAGGTATTTGGATAATTCCCAACAATGTTGGCTAAGGACAAAGACAAGATATCTGAGGTAAAATGGAGGGGGGGGATAATTTTTTTTTTTTTTTTTTTTTTGTTAGAGTTTGGTATGTCCTGAAAGGGCCTTGTGATAAGCTGCCTCCCCATGACAGGGAATTAATTTTCAAAAGGGAAGAAGAGTTTTCAGATCCCAAAGGGACCGTTCAAAGACCTGAGATAGAAATAGAACTGTTTAACATGGCCCTGAGACATCAGCCAGGCCAGACACAGAATATGGACTCAGGAAAAGGTAACTGAAGGACCAGAAGTCGACAAGGTCTAAATTATATATTCCCTACCCCTCTGGCTGTGTCATACAAGCCAAGTGGCTCTGATGCAACCTTTACCAGGCACACACAGTTCAAAGAACTCTAGGCTGGAGCCTGTAAAACAAGTTTGTTTGTTACACAGACGTTTCCCTTTTCTCTGGGCCAGATCTTGTCTGGGTCTCCAGGCCTGCTCTTCTTCCCTTGGCCCTAGGGAAACTGTCTTCCCAGACTCAACTTTTCCAGCTTCCTTGCTCTCCCACTGGGCCTGGAGCCATTGGCAAAGATTGAGTTTTTGTGACTAGCTCATTTTAAGTACAAAGACAAACTGGAAAAAAAAAAAAAGCCACAGATTGTGCAGGAAGCCACAACAGACCCAACTAACCCAGTCTAAAGAAAATGCAGTAATCTAAGCACTCATGTGCACACACATAATTGAAAAAAAAAAAAAATATATATATATATATATATATATATATATATATATATATATTTTAAATCTAAGACAATGTCCCTCCCAGGTTAGTCCTGGATCCCCAAGTATCCAATAGGCCACACCCACCCTTCCCCCCAACCCAGTGGCCTCAGCAAAAGGCAGGCTCTGGCTGGCCTAGTTCCAAGCTTTCAAAACTTTCAGTTTCTCTTCACAGCAAGAAACCCTACCTCACCCAACCCCAGGCAGCCAAAAGTTGTAAAATCAGGATGGCGCATCTCAAGGAAGTGACCCACTGGAGCTATTGTCCCTGAGTTCCCCAACTCCCAGCCCCTACACTCAAAGGCTACACTGGACTCCATTGCAACTGGGGCACTGCTTTTACCCAGAATCTCAACACCCACACTCCATCAACAACTCCAAAGACAGAGCCTGGTGTCATAAGCCCAGCCTGATCCCCAGTTAGAATTCCTCATAGCATTTACTGAATAAATCCAAATAAGAACACACACTTTCAGGCTGACGAGATGACTCAGGGGGTAAAGGGTTCATCTCAAATGCTGAATCCAAATCCCAGAAGTAGAAGGAAGGAGAGCTGACACACACCATACACACACTAAACCCCCATACTAAGCTTCTCAGAACGGGCTTAAATAACAGGTTTTCCTTTTCTATGAGTTTGTCAGAAAATATGACCAAGAAATATTAAAGTCATACACTCGATAGTATGTTTCAATGCTCAAGATAATGTCAAGGCCAGTTAGAAGTTCAAGGCCATCTTGGGCTTCATAGGGAAACCTGGGGAGGAGGAGGAGGGAGAGGAGGAGAAAAGGAAAAGGGAAAAAATGCCTGGGACATCAGGAAAGTTTCAGATGCTACACAACAGCAAAGCTGTATGGAGGATGATGGGAATGCAGGAAACATACTGAATCCCAGGCAGAAGTGATAGCTGACTGGGTTTCTGAATGAGCCCGGTACGGCTGAGTTCTGCCTTCCACTCTCTCTTCCTTGTGCCTTCGTGCTACACCAGAGGTCCCCATTCCTTAGTCTGTAGCTATTTAAGTAGAACGCCAGACCTTTCCCATTGCTTAGCCGAATACTCATGATTCAACTTTTTGCACGTGACGTACTTCACAGCTCCTCTACAGAATTCAAAATTAGTAATATACTTGCTTCGTTGAAAGTATCAATTACCACTCTCATCTTCCGGAGCTTTGTTAGAAACACAGGTCCTCAAACGCCCACCCCAGACCTGATTCAGCATCAGCATTTCCACCAGCTCATTCATCAATTCCAGTGTACATCACTGTGCATAAAGCACAGCGCTAGAGCGTCCTCAGGAAGGCAGAGCGGCTGCAAGATCTAAACAAGAGGTGGCCGCATGGAAAAAGCCCGCAGGAGACCAGCCAAGGCCCTCCAGTAAACACTGCAACCAGCATTCCCCGGGAGGAAAGTCATCTACTATGCTAATCCACCCTCGAGGTGGGGGGGTGGAGTGGGGGGGATGAGAAGCGGATGCTGGGAACTTGACCCCTTTTGAGCCGGCGGGAGTAGCAACAAGGGAGGTGTGAGTGCGCCTCTTCCTGGACCCAGCTACAAGAGGCCAAAGCTGACAAGACCAAGTTCCCGCCCCCTTCTGCTGTCACCCTGTCAAAACAAAGCCGTCCCGCGGCTTAGGGAGCCGAGCCCCCTACACGTGCATTTCCAACAGAAGACTTCAGGATGTCCGGAGCCCTCGGGGAAGAAGAACAGCAAGAAATCTGTCTTCAAACTGAGAAGTCCTCGCCGCCCGGGCTGTCACCATGCCCCAGACCTTATTTACACCCTAAACAGCCAGGATGACTCTTTCACTAAACAAGTAATGACACAATAATGACAGGACTGTCGCCGCGCGGCCATGGCCGCCAGGCGCCAAAGGACCAGGGCTTGGGGCTGTGTCCACTTCCCACCCCGCGCTCCGCCCCTTCGCTCCCGCAGAGCCAGAAGATTCCGGGACTCTCAGGCGCGCTCACTCCGGAACCCAGCTCCTCCTAGCGGGACACAGTGGGGAAGGCAAGCTCAGGGAGACACACTCAGATCCCCCACTCCAAAAAGATGCTTCCCAGCAGCGACTGGTTCACCACACCAAGCACAGTTCTGCTACCGGTGAAAGGTCTCCCGCGAACTCCTACAGAGCAACAAAGCCCCAGGGTAGCCCCGGCACTTGGAACCCAAAACTCGTCATTCCCAGAAGAGGGAGACCTGCAGATCTGGATGACCCCACCCCCACCCCCGCGGGACGCTGTGCAGGCCGCAACGGCGGAACGCGCGCAACGAGTGCAGCACTTCCGCGGTGCCCGCGGGAGGCCCGAGCGGGGTGGGGGAGGGGAGAGGAGGGGTCCGGGCCCAGCTGTGACCCCGCGATCGCGATCGAGCGCGTCCCAGCGGGTACCTTGCAGGCAGAGTACACGCCGAGTTTCTCCAGTTTCTTCGCCCGCGGAGCGGAACGCAGCTGCGCCTTCTTCACGGCGATCCGGGCCGAGCCGCCGCCTCCCGGTCCCTCGGCTGTGCCCGCCGCGGCCACGGCGGTCGCTGGCCCGCAGGAAGCAGAGCTCCCAGAGGCGGTGGCCAGGGTCCGGGGGGAGCCGTGCGGGGGCGCGGGCGGCAGTGCGGGGGGCCCGGCCCCGCCAGCCTCGGCCATGCCGCCCCGAGTATCACCCGCCGCAGCCAGGGTCCCCGCGGGTGCCGGTGGCGGAGCCGAGGCCCCCCCCCCTCCGCCCCGGCCGCCGCCCTGAGCCCTCCCCGCCCCCGCTGCTCTGCGCCGCTGGCGATCCCAGGCCCCGGAGCGGCCCGGGGTGGCTAGGACGCTAGCGGGCCTGAGCGCCCGGGCCGCGCTCTGCTCCCCTGGGCCTCCGGCATGTTGCTGGGACTGTGGCCACCCGCCTGGCGCGCCAGGGCCCGTGGGTGACCCGCGACCCGAGAGGCCGGGCCGCTGCAGCCTAGGCACCTGCCGCCCTGCGCTGCAGCGTTGCTGGGCCTGACACCCTCCTGCGGCGAGACCCAACTTCCTCCACCCTAGCGGGAGCCGAAGGAAATTTTTTTTTTCCAGAAGTATCCGTCAGCGGCCAATCCTCCTCTTTGTTGCTAAATTCACTGAAATCATGGCGTGAGGGGTTCCTTTTCTTTCGTTCTTCCTTCCTTTCTTTTTTAAGAGACTTTGAATCAAACTTTCAAGAATTCTTCCCCGGGTAATTTCTGAGCGGAATCTGCCCTAAGAAAAACTCAAATGGGTTCTGTTAAAAATACACATCAGAGAAACCCTGTCTCGAAAAACCAACACACACACACACACACACTCATTGGTTAGAGAACGTTACGGGTCGCCAAAATGAAAGCTAAGTGAGTGAAAAAAAAGTTTGAAACGGGTCTGCCTGCAGGGTTCACCCAGGTCGGCAGGATTATGTTCTGTTCAGCTGTTAGATTCTTGTTTTAGTTGAACCCGGGCGTGTATGTTAACTGGGAAGACATTGTCGGGAAATGATGCTGATTTTGACTTAAACTAAATAAGCAAAACTATTGTCTCTGTCACTGACGGCAGGGTGTTTAAGGTTTTCATCGTGGGTCCACCTTCCTTAAAACCACTTGAAAAATCAGCACCACTGGCAAGTGCCCTAATTCTGCAGAGCGAGAACATGGGCATAAAGTGGGACATGGGTCATAATGTGTTTGTGATTGGTTGTCTCACAAGCTTGATGGCTCCTGACAAACTCCTCGCTTGCCCATCCTGTTTATTGCAAATTTGTCTTTCAAGATCCGCTTCCCAAATTCTGCAGCCTTTTAACAAGGGTGATGGTACACTAGGGAAAAAGAAATCCCTTCTCTTCTGCAAGCAGTGAAGCCTGCTTCTGTGAAATGGCAGCCTCTCACTAGGTTGCATCTGACCAGTGTTCCTTTCTAGTCTTGGCCTTAGCCCAATATGGAGGTTCATGCCTATAATCTCAGTACCTGAGAGGCTGAAGCAGGAGGTTGGCCATGAGTTCTAGGGTATTCTGGGTTCCAGACATAGTGCCTTACCCCTTTGATCCCAGAACTACAGAAGCAAAGGCAGACCAGTCTATGTGACTTCAAGATAACTACATTAAGGAGTTCCAAATCAGCTAGGCCTACACAGAGAGACCCTGTGTATAAACAAAACACAGAAAACATACAAAAAGACTGGTTTTTGCAGTACTTTCCTTTCTGCTCTCTGGTTTTCTGGGAGTTTTTTGTTTTTGTTTTTTGTTTGTTTTTACAATAATGTCATTAAACCATGATAACTTTACTGGGGAATCCTGGTTCCCTTATATGTTCTTAGTGACCTTCATGTAAGACTTTTTAAGTGGATAGGAAGCTTGAGGTCCATTGTATGCTAATGATAGGTAAATCCTGAGAGCTGCCCAGAAAATGAATCAGAAAAGGAGGAGGAAAACAGGCTTCTTTTTAGTTAGAACTCAGAAAAGTAAGCCTATTCTGCAACTGGGGTGGGGTGCAAATAGCTGTATTACAGGATGGGTAGGGAGGGTGCATCTTTCAGAGAAAAGTGGGGAATGCTCACCCAGAGCATCAGGGAAAATATGCCTTTGCTTTTGGCCATAACTTAAGATAGAAAGGGTGGGAAAATAAAAGATAAGCCTTCTGAGTTAAAGGTCAGAAATTCAGGCAAACTTTGAAATGCAGACCTGTTAGTATCTGCACAGACAGAGGGATTTATGGGTAGGGTAAGAACATCATCTCATTTAAGGGGGTGAGAATTTTTCCAATATCCTTAATATGTTGTGGGTATGTCTGAATTCCTAAGAGATGATCATCTGGTCAAGTGATTTTTAATAGGTTTTCTGTACCATAATAGATTTCTCTGTCGATGCAGTAAACCAGAATTAGCCTAATTGAAAAAGGAAAAGAAGAGGTTTATTTGAGCAAAGCAACTACTGGATGAGTTCTCTAGTACCAGAGATAGAGGCAGGAGAGGTCATATGCCTAAACTAAAAAGGGAGTTTATATAGCTTGTATGTGAGGTGTGATGACATGTCCTCCACAAGCTGGGTTTATGCCCATATTAAAAAACTGAACACTTTAGACCTAGACTTGACTGCTGACAACTCAACTTCAGGGGAGGACCTTCTGCAGCGCCAAGAGTTTGTAACTGGGCTTTTTAGCACAAAAAGCCATCCTAATCCAAACTATCTTGCAGACCTGTTGTCTTCTTGGTTGGGGATGCCATGTGTTCACCTTTAATCAAAATGTTGGTGATGTCATATGACATCTGTCTTTCTCCAGCATCAGCAAAATGGCTACCATACACATGGCTGCTTAAAGATGGCAGCAAAGTCACATGTTACTTATATCACAAAATGGCATCATGCCACATGGTTCCTTTAAGATTGACTATGGCATCAATTGTAAACTATCAACTCCTTGTCAACCTTTCCTGTTTACAGAAAATAAAACAAACTTATAAAACTTGAGGTGAGAAATATTCACATAAACCAACTTTAGTTTTTGGCTGTTCTGCTTTTCTTTCTTCCTCCTATCAGTGTCAAGTGTCTCAACTGACACAGGACAGAGAGGAAACTTTTAAATAGGCTTGGGTCTAGAGGAAAGAGAGCTATAACCCAATTCTAGAGCCAGATTTCTAATAAAATAGAACATCATAAACAACTTTAATGTTATCCACACTCAAAAGACATCTGAACTCTGACTAACCCAAATTCAGTGACCAGAGAGTTCATTCTGAACCCTGGCCACAAAAGCAGCCATGGCAGTTGTGGTAGCTTGAGACAGCAAAAATACAACCAAGAAACACATAAAACTCATAGATTCAAAGAAGAGCAATCAGAAACAGAACATGTGGTGGCCACCCTTCACGATTCATACATTTTACAACAAAACTTACAGACCTGTCCAAGTATACAAAGCAGACAGACAAAGCTTTCTGCACAAAACAGATGGACAAAACCTTCTATCCAACCAGAACCAGGCAGGCCAGTGACATCTCAATATTTGCCCTCTGAAGGAGAATATCAAGGTCCTGTTCACCCAACCCCTCCACATCCCAACTAGGGATCCTACAGAACAGAAGTCTGTGACTCACTAGGAGGCTTCTGTAGATGCTTGCTGCTTTTCTCAGCACAGTTTACCCTGATAGTCTGAGAGAACCAAAGATGCCCTTAGACCCTTGCAATATCTCAAGGCCTATGCCTCTTGAAGTGGCCCCTTAGCCCTAGAGTTCAGGTGTGAAGGTCTAAGTGGGTGGTCTTGTATGGCTCTGCATGGACCCCTGAGGCACCTTGAGAAAGCTTGAAGCTGTTGGCCAGAACTCCTTGCCCCAGAGGTACTTTTCCAGTTTTGCTAACACCTTGTGGGGAGGAGCTAAGCCTGAAAATCCTGTTATGTTCCACTGTGCTGTAAGTCAGTATTTAAGTCTGCTCCATCCTTTCAATAAATAGCATTTGGCATTCCAACATTGCCATTCATGGAACAGAGCAGGTGCTACATGGTCTGAACTTTGTTGGGGACCTCCAGAAAATGTTAATCACATTGGTCAAGAATAAGGCCACTACCATAATTTAAAGCAAGCTTTAATTAATACTGGCCAGGTGGATGGGCTCTAGCCAGGTCCATCAGGCCAGAATTCCCAGAAAATGGCCACAAGTCACAATTTGCAGGGGCTTAAAAAGGCAAAGCCAACAATTCATTAAATTTATCAGGTCCAAACATGGGCAAGCATACATCTTGACATATTCCCTGCCTTTGTACCCCCCACCTACAACCAGTCAGGGGCAAAAATACATCCTGATGTATTTGGTACCCATGTACCTTCTACCCACATTTGATTAAGCACATCTGATGAGGATTCATCAAACAAACAGGAACTTTTTTTTCTCCTGCTATTTCTTTTTTTTTTTTTTACACTTTTTTTATTAATTTTTTTACATTCCAATCCCAGTTCCCCCTCCTCCTCTCCTCCCACACCCCCACACCCCTCCTTCCATCTGCCCCACAGAGATGGTAAGGCCTCCCCCAGGAAGTTTATTAAATCTGTCCCATCATTTAGCTGAGGCAGGACCAAGGCACCTCTCCACCACTGTGTCTAGGCTGGGCAAGGTATCTCTCCATATAGAATGGGCTCCACTATGTCAGTTTGTGCATTAGGATAGATGATAGAATATTTTCTTTAAATCTTACTAAATGCTAATGGACTAAATATTGTTAACAGTGATTCTTGTTTGACAACTGTTGTGTGATATATTTTGCTATGCTAAGGTTAAAAACCTTTTTATTTTAGACCGAAAAGAGGAGATGATGGGAGATGTCATTCTGTAAATATGTTTCTCATATTGGTTAATGAATAAAGCACTGTTGGCCAATAGGAAACCAATATAAGTGGGACTAGGAGACTAGGAGGAGAGAGGAGGTAATAGGGAGGAGATTCAAGATAAAGGATGGAGAGAGAGAAGTACACTGGGCCCTCTCTCCAGTAAGATGAGACCACATGGAAATACTTAGATTAATAGAAATGGCTAAAGTTTGGCAACCTGTCTTTGGCCTGTAACTTCCACATGTGAGTGACTAGGCAAGGCCTGATGTAATACTGCCCCCTGCCTATCTAATGGTGGCATATTATTGGCCCTTTCTCCTAAGATCTCCGTACCCCATCCTAAGATTCCTACCACCTAC